TCAAATCTCTGCAATTTTTTTTCTTTTTCTTTTTCGCAACTTCGGATATTAGCATTTCGTTTTCTGTTTTACTCTGGGCATATTAGGTGAACTAGGGAGGTTGTCATATTCTCGGACTGGATCTATCCTTCTCTGAAAGTGGACCCTCCAGTCTATTTCGTGCAATTTTTATTTTTCAAGATCGCATTGTTTTGAAAGCCGAAACTTTGCGAAACCCAGCATTGATCTCTCTCATAGTACTCCTCCGAAATGCCTCACTGATAGCAGATCGACAGATACAAAAAAAAAAAAAAAAAAAAGGGGGGGGTCCTCTTCTTTAATTTTTTTTTTTATTTTATTCTGTTGATTAGGACCGAGAATGGAAAGTGCAGTTTTGTTACCTTCTGCGTTTCCCTCCCACCCAACCCTTTGTCTGCATTCCCGGCTTAGTAAGTGTCATGTCAGCAGTGCCACATCAACAGTGCCACGACAGCAACAGTACCAACGTCAGCAGTGCCCGCCACCATGACGGTTTCAGCTTTGGGCATGCCAGGCCAACTGGGCAATGAGTCACATGCCGTGTATGGACAGCGGTTCCAAGCTCAGCTCGCACTGATCAAGGCTGAGGTACAGAGCCAGGTGGCAGCCGAGGCTGCCGACCTACAGGCTGAAGCGGAAGCAGCTGCTTCAGGCCGAAGCTGACGCAGATGCCCAGGCCCACTGCAAGGAGGCCCAGGATCTGCAGCAGCAGCACGAACCCGCCAGCGTCGACAATCTCAAGTTCTGGCATTTTGAACCATCTGACAGGCCACGACGACGCAACACCGGAAGAGCAGCACAAGGAGTTCCTCTCCAAACTCATGACCCGGTTGGTTTAAACTTGTAACCACCTACAGTCCGAGTTAGGAAAACCGCACCAGGAACTGACGCTCCGATAGGCAGTGTGGAACCACAAGGATCTGCACGAGGATGCTACAGAGGCGTTTCATTCCCGTGCACAGGACAACACACAGCACCGAGACCAGATGTTGGCGAATCCAGCAATGCAGCATCTAACCGCCAGTTGGAACAGCAAGTTGATCATATACTCGCCATGCTCGGCGACATCAGCACCTTTGCTGCACCCGCCACCATCAGCGAGCAGCTCGATGCCTTGAAGAACGAGGTTCGGCAACTGCACCAGCCGCCCAACAACGATGGCAGCACCAGACATAGGATTCGTGAAAACCTAACAAAACAAATTGTTAGGTTTGCATGAAAATTTTCAAAGATTCTCATAGTACGTTTTTCAGGCCTCCTACATCAACAAAATTCTAGATGAAGTTAAAGATCCGCAAAAAATGAAATGAAAAACTACTTTTTCAAAACCACTCGAAGTGGTGAGGAGAGAAGCAATTTTTTTTACAGAAAATCACTACCTTTCAAAACACTGTTTGTTCATGAACCAAAAATATTCCTTTTTTTTTTATTATCTAAAGAAATGATATTTATAGTTCTATAAGGTATGCAACACGATGAATGTATTGGAGGGTTTCCCAAACACGCTATATGTTGTCTTTTTCACGAACACGTTCGCTTGGATATGTTCTCTCATACATGGACAAATATATTATTTTTTATTAAAATATTTTATCATTTCTTAATTTTAGATCGTGGTTGGTTAAAAATTTGAAGATGTTTCCGAGGCAAAAGTTATTTGAATTCGTCTTTTACATAACATATATTTTTTGACAAGGGTTTTATAGTAGGCTCAAAAAATGACTTATAGGATTTATACTATTTTATAGATCTATAAATTAGTTTTCACAGATTTTGGTTCTTACCAAGTACTGAAAATGACTTACAGTTTTATAAATGAGTATTCACTAAAACTGTTTTTTTTTTGTACATATTTTCGAGTTTTTAAAGATTGTCTTGTTTACGCTCTGTTTTTTGTTAATCTACTAGGAACAATTTATAGTCCTATAACACGCTCTTTGCTAAAAATGATTTTCTTGCATATTTTAAGAATTGCTAGACTTTTTGCCAATTTTTTTGCATCCTTTTTCGAGACACAGTTAAAAATATTATTTTTTATGTGTCAAAAGTAACAGTTTGATGTTGTACTTTTTCATTCTATAAAAAATGTTAGGTAGTCGTTCTGTTAGGTTTTCATGAATTCGGTGTACAAGATGCCGACGTTCCGGATCGAAAAGTTTGATGACTATACACATCAAGACCCGGTCCCCTGGTAGCAGGGCTTTACGACGGAACTTCGGATTTGTCACGTCCTCGAGCACTCGTACATCGTGGCACTGTTCCTTAACTCAACAGGCAGATGCCAGATCTGGCTCAACCACCTGGCAACCATCCACAACGTCCAGGTCGCAACTCTGCACAAGAAGATCTCTTGGGAAGATCTGACGAGGCTATGAAAGAAACATTTCATCGTTGACAACTCCCGACACTCGCCATCAACCGCCTCTTCAGCATGACTCAAGGCAACACACCGGCACGATTGGCTCACGAAATGGCAAAAGATCGTGACAACACCTGATCTCGACGTGTCATTTCCGCATCCGCGCTGAGAGTTCTACAACCGGTTGTGTACCGCCTTGAGCCTCGCACTCGGTGATCACGAACAGTACACGACCTTCACCGAAATCATCGACAAGGGTCGTAAGGTCATCAAGACCAATCGGGTTGCTGCACACGAGAAGACAGCGTGGCAACCAACCCATGTGGAGAAAGAAAATTTGATCCGTGTCCGCAGCAAGTCGCTACAGTCCAACCGGACAACATTGTGGAAGACCCGACATCCACCCTAGCATCACATGAGGGAGATCAGGTGGCCGCCTTCCAGTCGTGAAGCAACAACAACTCCCGTATCAAAGGGAAGACGAAAACCGCATCGCCCGCTGGAATGGACAACCAGTACCATGGGTCAAGTTCAACTTGACCGAGGCATAATACAAGTACCGTTGCCGATACCGCTGCGGCTATTGGTGCAACAACACCAAGCACAAGACCTTGCACTGCCAAGATCAAGGCAAGGAGGATGTTCGACCTCGAATCAGCTAGGGAAACTGAGCTGCACGGGAGGTGAGGCGACTCCACCTCTCACTCCGCCATATCCGGTCGCCTTGCTAGCGGCCTTCTACACATCTGGGGAGAGATGTCGCAAGTCCTCGGTTCACTTAGGAGGATTACGCTGTCCACTTGGTCCCACTATTGGACCAACCACTCCACGTGCAACACTCCACCGCATGCACGGTTTACCTCTATAGGCAACCGATTCGGCAGCTTTGCCGCCAACTTTTCAGGGATTCGATATCATGGTCAAGACTTGAGAGACTCGACCCGTTGACGTTTGCAGACTTCCAATGGATGCCCCTTCCCCCGACCGGTTGATTGCCGAAACTGCATTGCAATGTGCTCATGACTCAATTGCGGGATTACTTGCACACTGCAGTACCAGCTCCGTTGATGGACGCCGGAGTAGAGGTTGTTGACCTTTATGACTATATTGCAAAGATCGATCTCAAGTTCAAGACCCAATAGTACGACGACATCGATGCGTCATTGTTGTACATACACATTCAGATCGGAGAGGCGACCTGCAGCGCTTCGATCGATCGCGGAGCTACTCGCAACTATATGAATATTTTCTGGTATGCGCTGACCTGGGGCCACACGTTCGGAGGAAGTCGCAGCCCACACAAGTCACATTAGCCGACGGTCACACGCACAAGCCAATCGATTGGTGCATTGATTTTGTCCCCGTGTACTTCGCCCCACATGCAAGGGGGGCTGTGTCCTTCGACATTCTGGACACCAAGTTCGAGCAGATTTGCAAGCACTGGGATCTGCAGCGATGATCTATGTCGACTACGAGCGTTGAATACTAGCTCAGGAAGGTTCACAACCTGCCCCTCCCACCCGGACATTGGTCCCTCCCTCCGACAGGCAGCTTCGCCCTCACAGGTAAGCTCGGTCTTTCAAGGAGGGCAAGGTGTGGCATACTGCGCATCCACACGGGCCAGGAGGGCCCGACCAGACGGAAAATAAGGACCCTCCAGGCCCTTTGTCGTTTTAGCCTAAACAAGTGGGCCCGCCGCAGCCAGCTACGGCCAAGGAAAGGAAGGAACAGGGGGGCGGGGCTGTTGTTGTCACACTGCTTGGGCATTTTTTTATAAAAAAAATTTGTGTCGTCATATTCGTTATTTTCCGACTGATCAGGAGGTTGTGTGCGTGTGTGTGTATGTGTGTGTGTGAGAGAGAGAGAGAGATAGCCACTCTCTCTCTCTCTCTCTCGCTCTCTCTCTCTCTCTCTCTCTCTCTCTCTCTCATCCTGTCAATGGAAGTAGCCTCTCTCTATTTGTTTGCGTGCATGAATGGAAAACTCTCTCTCTCTCTCTCTCTCTCTCTCTCTCTCTCTCTCTCTCTCTCTCTCTCTCTCTCTCTCTCTCTCTCTC